TTCTGCAAATTCCGCACCTTCTTACATCAGGACAATTGGTCCTCGTATGACCTATAAAAAAACAAGTACAAATGTAAATAATAATTGTACAATTTAGATTGCAATAATTGAGAACAATAAAAATAGTGATATTTTTAAAAATTAATGGGAGACAGAAAGGAAAGAGATTTATGACCAAAGATAAGTTCTTTACACATTACCTTCTTCTCTGCAAACTCCGCACCTTCTTAAATCAGGACAATTGTTTCTCGTATGACCTGTAAAAAAACAGTACAAATTGTAAAATAATATGTACAATTTAGATTACAATAATGATGATATTAAGAAAAAATTAATGGGAGACAGAGAGAAAAGAGATTATGACCAAAGATAAGTTCTTTACACATCACCTTCTTCTCTGCAAATTCCGCACCTTCTTAAATCAGGACAATTGTTCCTCGTATGATCTGTAAAAGAACAGTACAAAATGTAAAATAATATGTACAATTTAGATTACAATAATGGTAAAATTTAAAAAAAAATTAATGGGAAACACAGAGAAAAGAGATTATGACCAAAGATAAGTTCTTTACACATTACCTTCTTCTCTGCAAATTCCGCACCTTCTTATATCAGGACAATTGTTCCTCGTGTGACCTGTAAAAGAACAGTACAAAATGTAAACTAATATGTACTATTTAGATTACAATAATTGAGAACACTAAAAATGGTAATATTTAAAAAAAAATTAATGAGAGACAGAGAGAAAAGAGATTATGACTAAAGATAAGTTCTCTACACATTACCTTCTTGTCTGCAAAATCCGCATTTTCTGTCCATGTTAGATACTGAACTTGAATATTCGTGTAATTTCTTATATTAATTTTATATATACTTTCGCCTTTCTCACCCTATTTTCTCACTCTTTCACGTCTCTTCTGCTTTTTTACGTTTATTGCTCTTCTTTCACCTAGATTCACTTCTTTTTACTCATTCCAACAACTTATTCTGCTAAAAATCACAATGCTCGTCAACCGCTAACGTAAGTGTTTATATACCCGAGCAGAAATTAGATGGGGAAACCCAGATGCATGACTAACGCCCCTTAGGGAAAAGGCCGACTGCCACGTATGTAATTATTACTGAAAATATTACTGCTCGTGTAGTAGTTATTGCTGGTGAATCACATGACAAATATTACACATCTGTGGTTATTACTGGAGGTATTACTGCTCGTGTAATTTAATTACGTGTAATTTAATAGTTTTATACATACATACTATTCACGCACGCACGCACGCACGCAAGTACGCATTCATGTACGCACACGTACATGCACAATACATTTGAATATATCAAATTTTCCAGCTGTAGAAGAGTATGTGGCAACAATATTTTATTTAATAAACTTTTACTCATATGCTCTGGCAAAACATATCAAAATGAAAGTACAAACTGAAAACGTTATCGGAAGAGC